TTTGGAGTGCTCTTTTTCCTTGGTTGCTGGCTTTTTACTAAATACCACACCTAAAATGCAGGCATCCAGCAAGCTGTCTTAACTGTGATGATTTAGATTGGGTGATACATTCATCCAGACTAATCCACTTAAGGATAACTTAATTAAGAGAACACAATTTACCAGCACTTTTCTGCTCCTTGAGGAATATTACATTAGAACATTCACAGATTTCCACTTTCTGCAAAAACACTAAGAGGAATCACAGAGTTTTAAATGTGACTATAACCTGAGTGTTCATCGATGCTACCCTCCCAAATCCAGAAAACTAACTTCTAAACCAAACTGTTAACCTGTTAATTAAAACTGATGTGACTTTGAAGTACTTTAGTTTATTTCAGAGTAGCTGTATTTAGTAGCTTCTGTTTGTCACAGAAGGGGTAGTGAGTTGCAGGTGGATAGTGTTTTTATGTAACACTGGTGCAGGTAAACAAAATAGAATTACTCTTCCTATTATAGCATCAAAATGTTTTCAAGTTTTAGTTGTTTAAAGCCACATTATGTACATAATTAAGTTTCTAGTCCTTTAATTATTCTAAGTTCTATTTGTGTCTTGAGGCTTATTTTCATTTAAGAAATGTAAAATGATTGATATTTAAACATAGGTTTCTTAGTTGTTTCTTTAGATTATTGTTTCTTTAGATTATCTCAGGCATATATTCTGAATATAACCATTTGTTTTATATATAAATGTCAAATTTAAAGGTAATATTATTTTCATGCAACCGCTCAAAATTTTGATTGGATCTTCTATTTCTGAACTTGGAGAATAAGGGATTAAAGATTTGTCAAACTGCAGGTCACATTTTACCTTGATGTGCTGGTTTTTTTAAATGGCAAAATCCCTCATGGCTGTGTGGTTTTCACTAGTGTGTGTGTGTGTTTAAAGTTCATAGCCAAACACAACTGAATAAACCATGGAACATATTTTCTCTCCATGCCCGGAAATGCAAATTGTTATAGATCAACTGCTGAGAGGTCTTGTCTCCGTCTCATACGTCTTGTTTGCAATTTGTTTTTCATTTATTCCAAGCATACCGAGTTCACTTTACATTTGCTTGTTATTCACATGTTTTTCAGTTGTCTGCAAAGTTTGTTTTAACGTGCAGAAAAACTATTCTCCCTTGACTGTGCCTTCTGAAATGTACTGACTAACGTTTATAAACATGCCTGTTTCTTAGCAAGAGCTTCTGCCCTAAATTCCCAGAGCCAGGAGGAGGACTAGCTGTGCACACACCCCCTTGATTACTTGTTCCACTCATATCCAAAGAAGTATTAACAAACAAATAGGAGAGATGATAGCTAAGCGAAGAAACGAATCTGCCTTGTGGTTTTAGGATCACATATACCAATGCGCCCCCTGAAAAAGGTTCTTTTCAAATGCAGGGCGACAGCCTGAGCTTGGGGTCACACAGATCTGGAGGCCCGTTCTGGTCCAGCATGCACGAGTTGTGTAACCTTGGATGTGCACTTAACTTCTATGAGCTTCATTTTCCCCAGCTGATAAAATGAACAAACGCTCCACCTCACGGGACTGTTGGAAGGAATAGGAAGGAAGGAAAAAAGGGAGATACTTGTTAAGTCACTGGTGGTGTGGTGGAGTACTAGACCAGCTCCGCTCTCTGTTTAAAAAAAAAAAAAACCGAAAAAACAGAAGAGCCCCTCTTGATTTGCCTTGATTTGTAGTGCAGTATAAATACTCCCACCATGGCCTGTTTCATCTATGAATGATTTAACTGCCACCTGGTAAAATTCCTGAATATTTAACCGTCCCTTGGTCACAGCTGAGCCAAGCACATTGCTGTTAGCCTCCAACTAATGGTAGTAATAATTTAATAGTTGTATTTTGTATTCTGTTGATCTAGGAAAATTTTGGCTGTTTGGTAAAATTCTGTATAGATGGAGATATGAAAGCTAAGGGAAGAATAGTCATTTATGCACTTTAAAACATTAATGATTTCAAATGACAAAAAACGAGCTATCTTAACAATTTTGAAAGTAGGCAAAAAATTTAGGACAAGAAGAAAACAGCATGTTAATAATAAGAACATGTGTTTCAAATGTTGTAAAAATAAGAATAAGGTCACTTTGTAAGATGGTCTGGATTAATTAAATTTAATGTTAACTTTTTCAAGATTGGTTAGAAGTGGCTCCACTTTCCTGGTCTTACATCCTTTAATCTGTACACACACAAAATCCTGAGCAGAAAATTGTGTGCATTTGATACTTAAACAAATAGAAACTGACAGCCTCTATTTGAAAACTCAGTGCTTTACAAAAAAAGCTTTTTATTTTATCTAGTAACTGTTTTCTGTCCTTCAAGACTTATTTTATGCTTTAAAAGTTTGCTGAAATCATATATTTTTGGAAATACTCCTTTACTGAGTAACCATGGGCTTTGTTGTTGTTCTGTTTTGCTTTTGGTAATAATCAACATTTGCACGCATGGTCTGACATGCTGGACGGGGGATGGCATACTGGACTGAAACTGCTCCAGAACATCTAGACATGAGAAGCCTGCAAATAACTTTCATGTAACAGTGAATAGCTCAGTTTACCAAATACTAAATTGTGGATGACCTAGGACAAAATCACCAGAATTGAGGGCGATTGAGTAAATCAGCTTGTGCTGAGAGTGTTGCAGAAAAATGTGTTACAACTTGATGTTACACTTCAGTTGTGACAGCATCCTGGATTCGGGCTAGAGACCAAGCAGCACTCAGAGAGTTGGGAGAACTCAGGTTTATTATGCCAGCGGGCCCAGGCAAGTTAACACTCCAAGCTCTGGACCCCGTCTGTAGGTTTACACAGGCTTTTATAGGCTGCCAGTTTTACACTTTGCAACATCATATGCAAATAAAGTATAACAGAAGTTGACCAACCAGGAACAAGCTTTGTAGAAATAGACCACTCAGGAGTGAGAGAAATAACCACTCAGGAGTGAGAGAAATAACCAATCAGGAGTGAGGGGAAGGGACCAATCAGGAGTGAGAGAAATAACCAATCAGGAGTGAGCTCCATGCAAATGAAGTACTACAAATGGACCAATCAGAAGTTAGGGAAGTGGACCAATCAGAAGTGATAGTAATAACCAGTCAGGAGTGAAGGAAGTAACCAATCAGAAGTGAGCTTAGGGAGCCAATAGAATTTTAGGGGTAAGTAAGCAGTTTCAGAGGCAAAAAGTGAGAGAGAGTCTCTGGGCCAGGGAACCGGATGGTGCCGGCAGGAGAGTAGTGGCCCTGCGTGGGGGTCCTGCTGGTCTTTTTATGGGGCTTCCCGCCTCAGGAGTACCACTTTCTACCTGCACTTATCACGTGTACCGCGAGCAGACAGTGCTGGGACAACTCGTCTGGGGAAATGGGTGGGCAAACCCAAGGACATTTTGGTGACTGAAAGCTGACTTGCTCCAGTAAAACTCCTGTGTCCATTTCAGCAAAAGAAGACTCTAGTGTGCGGGCACCCGAAGGAGGTGAGAGTATATTCTAAGTTAATCTCTCTCACAAAGACACAGAAATCATTGGCACTGTAGCCTAGCATGGTATTGCCCAGAGTGCCAGGTTTACAAGTCATCCAGAACACAGCTGGGAGGAAGAACCAGGACCTGTGTTCATTGGAACCCCAAAACTCTTGTCCTGCTGAAGTGAGAGCTCCTTGTAGCATGTGGCCCAAAACACAGATACCTGTTTCTCGGAGGAGGCGTGTGTCTCTTCCTAAAAGCATGTAACTGTGTACACATTTATTGTTCCTAGAAATGTAACAGATGTGCGTAAAAATACATTCCATGAAGTAGCTAAGTGGCATTTTGGGGTTTGATCATTTCGGGCAAAGAGAGAAAGACCGCCTTCTTTCTCTCGCCTGTGTAAATTAAAGTGTTTCTCTGTGTGAATCGCCTTTATGATGACCACAAACCTAGTAAAGGGACAGAGGTTCCATGGTTAAGTTAATCAACCTTTTTCAGGCACATATTACGTATTAAGTAAAGCGAACGCGAGGAAACTTTTGTTTTCCAGTGACACAGAATGTGATTGCTTACTGGTTCTCGTGGAAGATATATGACCAACATTCTGGATAAGGCCAGATGTTATGTTACAGATTAGATGCAAAAAAAAAAAAGTGAGAAACATTAGTGGGCAGCTCTGTCATCTGCCCATTTCTTGAACCCTTTCCCACAATAATTCATTCATTCATTAGAAGTGTTGGCGTAGTACATGCTGATGTTGGCAGCTTTACCAATGGGTGTATTCCAAGGATTGTTAGGGCGGAATTTCCAGACAATTCAGTGCTGTTGCTTCTTTTATTGCCTTGCCTTCTCTCCCCTGTATCAGATTTTTTTTTTCATGCAATTCACTCTGCAAACCAAAACCAAAACTGGGGATAGCTATTTAGAAAACTAAAATCTAATTAAGATGTTTTAGCAGGTTTTTTTTTTTATGTGTTTCTCTTCTGAGCTACTTAGGATATGAGATGAAGGGCTGGAAACATGGAAAAATCCTACTTTATTAAAATCCTGGATTTCAGGCTTTGCTTTTAGATGAAACTCTGCCTAACTAGAAACTATTACCATTGAGTTAGGTACATGGGCTTTGGAACATAATAATTATAATGATACCAATCAGTTATTAAATGTGTACTGTCTACGTGGCAGCACATGATATCACTGATCCTCAGAACAGCTCTACAAGTCAGTGCTTTTATTATCCTCTCCCTGATTAGGAAAGGAAACTCAGGCTTAGAAAGTTGAAGTAGTTCGTACAGGTTTACATTGCTGCACGACATGTAATGGGGATTTCAAGAAGGGCCGACAGATGTAGAATCCACATTCTTAACCGCTAAACTGTATTTTCCATCAAAATTCATAACTTCCCACTGGTTGTGTCGAGAAGGGTGCACACTGACCTGTTCTCGCGTGGATGCGGCGTGGAGTCTCTGAGTAATTGACACCCTTGTCTATCTGCCTGCAGGCCCCTGGGGAAGGTGTACAGGAGACTGTGGGCCAGGAGGAACCCAGAGTCGCGCACTGTGGTGTTTCCACTTTGAAGGGTGGACGAGTCACCTGTCCAACTGTGATGAGAGCAACAGGCCTCCGAAGGAAAGAAGCTGCTTTCGAGTCTGTGACTGGCACAGAGACCTCTTCCAGTGGGAGGTTTCCGACTGGCACCACTGTGTGCTCGTTCCTTCAGCCCCAGGCCAGGTCAGGCCCCAGGGCTGCAGAGTGTGTGACGGCCCAGCACGGGCTGCAGCACCGGACGGTGCGCTGTATTCAGAAGCTGAACAGAACCATGGTGGGGAGTGAAATCTGTGAACACTTTGCCCCTCAGCCCCCCACAGAACAAGCTTGCCTCGTCCCTTGCCCCCGGGATTGCGTGGTCTCTGAGTTCTCGCAGTGGTCCCAGTGTAGCAAGGGATGCGGGAAGCAGTTACAGCACAGAACTCGCTCAGCCATTGCTCCTCCTCTCTACGGAGGGTCGCTGTGTCCCAATCTGACCGAGTCAAGAGCCTGTGACGCTCCCGTTTCCTGTCCTCTGGGGGCAGAGGAATATACCTTTAGCCTTAAAGTGGGACCATGGAGTAAATGTAGACTGCCTCACCTTAAAGAACTTAACCTAAGTGGAAGAACCGTTCTGGATTTTAGCTCTGATTCAAAGGAGCGAGTCACCTTTAGACATCCAAGTTACAAGGCACTTCACCATTCCAAGTCCTGGGACGTGGAGATAGGTTATCAGACGCGGCAGGTGTGGTGTACAAGAAGTGACGGGAGAAACGCTGTATTAAGGTAGGCGGCCTTCGGTGGTTATCTGATTCACCTAAATATTTTACAGTGTAATTGTGTAAGGATTCTTTATGGTTTTCGACGACGGGAACATTATAATCAGGTTTGGGATTTGAGTTTTTAGAAGTTTCATTGGAGAAGTTTTCAATCTCAATTATAAATATTTCAGAATCCAGACCTAGCAGTGCTCTGGATTCCAGCATAATTAGTAGTGCAACTCTGTAGGACATGTCATATATTTTCACATTTTACTGAGACATCAGTCAGTTTAAAAAAATAAGTCTTTTGCCACTACAGTGATAAAAAAAAGACTGAGCCTTTCATTATAATGATGAAATTCAAGTTCACTCTCAAATTTGGAATGTAAATTATGTAAATATTTATTATTCTTCATATGGTTTATCTTCTTTAAACTTACGTTTTTGTTTGTTTATTTTGTTTTGATGATTAAGAAGATTCTTTTACATCCGAGTTGTAGATACTTCGTAGTAGTAAATACTACGTTAATCCTTGACTGTTTTCTTTGGCATTGATTTGATAAAAATATTAACATGCACAGCAATAATCAGAATTACAAACCTGTAGAGGGAATGGACTAAACTTTTAAAAGCAGTAGTTCAGGCTTCAAAATTATTTGTAATTGTTTTACTTTACATTGTAGTGGAAAACATCATGATGTAAATCATAGAAATACATTAAAAGTAACATTTGTTTTACTTTTACCCCGGAAGGTCTTAAGTGGAGGCACTGGTGTATTACGAGATTTCTTCCAGATTAAGATGCCTTTCAATAGGTCTTGAATTACCAAACAATGTAACACTCATCCCTCAATTTATCATTATCATCAGTTACTGTTTCCTCAGGATCCACAGCTGGCTCAAAAGACTACCTCTGCTATTCAAGAACAAAGTAATGTGATGATTGTTGTTGTTGTTTGTTTGTTTTTTCCCATTTGACTTCATAAATGAGCATATTTTACCTTTGATGTTTCATTCTGATTTATACTGTATAACTTGGCAAGTCCATTGAAGAGTAGTTTTCTGCCGTTTTATTGCCTGCCTCGGTGAAGCCCCAAAAGATTACACAGATGATTTGGGTGATTATTGTTTGAATATGTATGTGGGATTCTGTACAAACATTGTTTCTTAATAGTCCATACAGGAATATTACATAGAATGTCTCCACTTTTAGTTTGCTTGTTTTTGTTTTTGCCATGTACTATGTTTTTAAATCAGCGGTTTGTTTTTTAGAGTGATTTTAGGTTTGCAGAAGAATGGAGCAGAAGATACAGTGTTCCCATGTATCTCCTCATTCCTCTCCCTCATACATACACAGCTTCATAGCCATTTTGCGTTACATTAGTACAAGTTGTGCCGTACATGTGGATGTACCATGTAAATGCAGTGGATGAGCCAATACTGATACATTACTGTAGCCCCTAATTTACGTTAGAGTTCACTGTTGGTGGTGTACATTCTGTAGGTTTGGACGAATGTGTGATGGCATGTGCCCACCAGTACTGTGTCATACATGATTTCACTGCTCTAAGACTGCTCTGTGCTCCACCAAGTGATACCACCCTTCCTCTTCCAAACCCCTGGCAACCAGTGATCTTTTTACTGTCACTCCCAAATTTTGCCAGTTTACGCTGCTATAAACATCTAGGTGCAGATTTTTATGTGGACATACTTTTTCAACTGATTTGCATAAATACCAACAGGCCCTATTCCTGGATACTACGATAAATTTATTTTTAGTTTTGTAAGAAACTGCCAAACTCTCTTCAAAAGTGGCTATATCACAGCCACCGTGGGAGTTCATTTTTCATCACATCCTGGCCAGCACTTGGTGTTAACAGTGTTTTGGATTCTAGTTCTTTTAATAGGTGTGTAGTGGTATCTTGTTTTAATTTGCAATTCCTTAATGACATATGATGTTTAGCATCTTTTCATATGCTTAATTTCCATCTATCTGTCTTCCTTGGTGAAGTGTCTATTCAGACCTTTTGCCTATTTTTTAATTTATTTTTTCTTATTGTTGAGTTTTAGAGTTCTTTGTATATTTTGGATACCAATCCTTTGTCAGATAGTTGTTTTGCAAATATTTTCTTTTAGTCTGTGACCTGCTTTTTCATTCTCTTAACAGTGTCTTTGACAGAGAAGTTTTTTTTATCTTAATGAAGTTCAGTGTATCAATATTTCTTTCATGGATCATTCTTTGGTATTATATCTTAAAAAAATCACCAAACCCAAGATCAGCTAGATTTTCTCCATTGTTACCTTCCAGTAGCTTTAGAGTTTTGCATTTATATTTAGGTCTGTGATCCATTTTGAGTTCATTTTTCTGAAAGTTCTTATGGTCTGTGTCAGATTCATTGTTTTTGCATGTTCAGTTGTTCTAACACCGTTTTCAAAAGACTGTCTTTTCTTCATTGAATTATCTTTGCTCCTTTGTCAAAGATCAGTTGACTGTATTTTTGTCGATCTATTTCTGGGCCCTCTGTCTTTATCCCATTGTCCTTTTTATCTATTCTTTGCCAATAGCACTGTCTTAAATATTGAAGCTTTATAGTATGTCTTTAAGATAAGTAGTGTCAGTCCTCAGAATTTGTTTGTTTTTAATAGTGTGTTAACTGTTCTGAATCTTTTGCCTTTCCATATAAACTTCAGGATCAATTTGTTGATATCCATAGAACAATTTTTGCCAGGATTCTGATTGGGAATACTTGTAATATATAGATTAATTTGGGAAGAACTAACATCTGGGTAATTCTGAGTCTTCCTATTCATGTACATGGTATATTTCTCCATATATTTAAATCATCCTTGATTTCTTTCATCAGAGGTTTATGCTTTTTTCTCTTATAGGCCTTGCACGTATTTTGTTAGATTTATACTTAAGTATTTTATGTATTATTGGTGCTAATATAAATGTATTGTGTTTTTACTGTCAAATTCTAATATTCGTTGCTGATATACAAGAAAACAACTGACTTTTGTATATTAACTTTGTATTCTTCAACCTTGCTATAATTTCTTATTAGTTCCAGGAGGGTTTTTTTTATTATTACTGCTGTTGTTGATTCTTTGAAATTATCTGTGTAGATAAGCATATCATTTGCAAACAAAGACAGTTTTATTTCTTCCTTTTCAATATGCACACCTTTTATCTCTTTGTCTTGCCTTATTGCTTTATCTAGAATTTCCAGTATAAACCAAATAGGAGTGGTGAGAAGGGACATTCTTGCCTTGTTGCTATTCTTAGCAGGACAGCACCTGATTCTTACCATTAAGTATGATGCTAACTGTACGTTTTTTGTACGTGTTCTTTATCAAGTTGAAGAAGTCCCCCTCTCTTCCTAATTTGCTGAGAATTTTTATCATGCAGAGGTGTCACTTTTTGTCAAGTGCTTTTTCTGCATATATGAATATAATCATATGACTTTTTTAACTTAATCTATTGTTAGGATAGATTAATTTTCAAATGTTGAACCTGCTTTGCATACCTGGAATTAATCATTCTTGGTTATGATGTATTAGTCTTTTTATATATCATTGAATATTATCTGCTAATATTTTCTTGAGAATTTTTGCATATATGTTCATGCTAGATATTGATTTTGGTCTTCCTTTTTAATCATGTCTTTATTTTTAGTACTAAGGTAATGCTGGCCTCATGGAATGAGTTGGGAAGTGTATCCTTTACTTTGATATTTAGAAATAGATTGTCAAGAATTGATATAGTGATATAATTTTTTCCTCAAATATTTGGTAGAATTCAATTCATCTGGGCCTGGTACTTTCTGCTTTTGTAGGTTATTAATCATTGATTATATTTCTTAAATATATATATATAAATCTATACAGATTATAGAATTTTTCTTATGTGAGTTTTAGCAGATTTTGTCTTTTAAGGACTTGGTCTATCCATCTAACTTATCAAATTAGTGGGTATAAACTTGTTCATAATATTCCTTTGTTATCTTTCAATGTCCATGGGATCATTAGTGATAGTGGTGACCCTTGTTAGTTACTGATATTGGTGCTTTGTGTTCTCACCTTTTTTTTCCCCCCTTTGTTATCTTGTCTAGAAGCCAATCAATTTTATTGAACTTTTCAAAGAACCAACTTTTGGCTTCAGATATTTTCTCTATTGATTTTCTGTTTCTAATTTTATTGATTCCAACTCTAATTTTCATTATTTTCATTCTGCTTACTTTAGATATAATTTGATCTTCTAGTTTTTCTAAGGTGGATGTTTAGGTTATTGATTTTAGATAATTCTGTTTTAATATGTGAATTCAATGCCATAAATTTCCCTCTAAGCACTGCTTTCAGTGCATCCCACAAATTTTAATAAGTTCTGTTTTTATTTTGATTTAATTAAAATACTGTTAAATTTTTCTTGAGAGTTCTTCTTTGCCCATGTATTTCTTAGAAGTGTTCTGGTTTAATATACAAGTATTTGGGGTTTCCCCAACCATCTTTCTTGTATTGACCTATAGTTTAATTCCATTGTGTCCTGAGAGCACACTTTTTATGATTTCTATTCTTTTAGATTTGGTAAGGTGTGTTTTACAGCCCAGCAGTGTGGTCAGCCTTGGTGAATGTTCTGTATACGTTTGAGAAGAATGTGCATTCTGCTATTGTTGGATGAAATAGTCTATAAATGTCAGTTTTATTCAGTTGATTGATGGTGCTGTTCAGTTCACCTAGGTCCTTACTGATTTTCTGCCTGCTGTATCTGTCCATTACTGGTAGAGGGCTGTTGAAATCTCCAACTATGATAGTGGGTTCGCTGTTTTTCTTTGCGGTTCTCAGTTTTTGCCTCACATATTTTGATGCTCTGTTGTTAGGTGCACACATATCAAGGATTGCTATGTCTTCTTGGAGAACTCACCCCTTTATAGTTATGTAATGCCTCTCTTTATTCCTGATCATTTTCCTTGCTCTGAAATCTGCTTTGTCTGGGATTAGTATAATTATTCCAGCTTCCTTTTGATT